ATATGGTATCTTTTATAGAGACGTAAAAACTCCTAGGGTCCTTGTTTATAATTCTCTTGGCAATCAATTCGGTCCATGTCAGAAATCGTCTCTACTTACTGACTTTGAGTTCAAATGGATCTCAAAATGGTTTTCTGGTTTAGATTTTGAAATCTGTCAGTATTTAACCTAAACAACCCATTCCAGGGTCTTGCTTTCATGGTGGTCTGTCTTGTTAAAGTTGTTCTCATCTGGGAAGGTGAAGGTTGTAAGATCCTATTTACAAGCAGCAGCTGATGACCTGGTATGTTTTAAAAATGAAGAATTCTCTGTTCTTTGGTTTTTTTAATATTATCTTTCCCTAAGATTCAAAGTTATCCTTTGATAATTAAATTAATGAAAGAGAGGAGGTCAGTTTGACAAGAGATAAAAGAAATCAAGTCCTCGGGTGAGATATTGTTACCATCTCCCTGGAGTCTGGAAGCTACCCTATCTCCCTGTAACTTCTTGGATTCCTTCTGAGATGTTTTCCCAAGCCTTGATGTTTGGAAACAGAAAGTTTTGCAGTGTTAACTTGGAACCAAAATTATTAGTAGAAATAGATTTCTAATCATTTAACTTCACTTTCAGCACCATACATCTCATTAGGGTAGATTGTGGTTGGGTGAGTGGATATAGTTTATAGACCTAAGAAGGAAAGATGAGTCGTGGGGTCGTGGGTCTGCTGTGCACTACCAGTTGAATGGGTACCATGGACCAGAAATTCAAATGTTAAAATGTGTTCCTCAGTCCTGAATCGGACTGCAAGGAATGGAGGTTGGGTGGGATGAAAGTCAACAAGAAAGGAGAGAAGTGAATAGGTAAATAAAACCACTGAGACATAAACCAAAGCTGAATGTGAGCCAAGACCTATTTAAACTCTCAGTAGAAGGGTTTCTGGTGGGGGTGGAGGTCATGACTCAAGGACTTCTTGCTGGAGAGCCAGAGTGAGGGTGGCAGTGTTGAGATATTGCAGAGGGGATGATGTTGATGAGGAGGAGTAGAAGGGTCCATGGTCTGGTTTTTCTAGGTTGAAAATTGAGAGATGGGTTCATGGGAATCAAGTCGCTTAACTCCTATCCTAAAACCATGTGGTTGTGTACAGATTCCACTTGCAGACCCATGTGTTTAACCCTCTTTGAAAGGAATAGGTATATTCAAATGTGTAATTTTAAGAGAGTTTAAACGAACTAATCACAAAGGCATAGGTACTGTATAAAGACACAATAGTGCAGTAATAGTGCAGTACCCCACAGCTAATAATGAACATAGAGGTAATTACTGCCTCTAAGCTTAAGAGGGCAAGGCGAGGCAGCAGTTACTAGAACCCTGGAAGAGGTGGGGGGATGGACAGAGAGAGGGAGAGAGAGAGAGAGAGAGTCCCCCATGGAATGTCCTCTCCCTCTTTCCTCTAGCTAGCACCATCAGCACATGAAGACACAGCAGGACCCAACCTATCCCTGGTCTCCTACTGATGCCTGAACAGGTTGAATCTGACCAGGAGTCAGAGGATGTCAGAAAGGGAATGTTGTCCCATACAGATCAGTTATGCCTCAAAGGACACAGAGGAGGTGAATGGGTAAAAAACTAACCTGGATGAATAGACTATTTCCAGCATAGTAGCTAATGTGTTGGTTCATAACAGGAAAAGAACCTGGCTTAGTGTGTGCCTTATTTTCATTCAGAACTATTTCAGTGATCTCTAGAAGTGGCCTCTAACACCAAAGAGTAGGGAGGACAAGGCCATTGTCACAAAAGCAAGTCATAGACTGCCCTGTGTCCCCTGCCCCCCACAACATTGTCTCTCCAACTCTTGTCTGGCCTGTGCCATATTTATTTGGCACAACCTGGTTACAACTTGAGGCATGGGCTTGTTTGGCTGGAGAGAGTTGAACCACCTGCATTGAGAAGAAAATCAGATCAATCTGACTTGGACCTCCAGGAGGTCTTTTCTCAGGAGAGGGAGAGCTCTTGTAAAGTCTGGTAACCAGGATCTTCATTCTCTCAATTAACAGCCTTTACCATAGCCTGTAAGTCCCTATATAATCTGAGCAATCACAACTCCAGCTTCATCTTCTATTGGAACATCTGAGGTCCAGCCCCGGGGGGTTCCTTGTTGATCTTAGAACAGTGCCACCCCTGGCACTGTGTACTGACTCTTCCTTCTGCCCTACACTCCTGTGACCCACTCCTCGTTTTCTTCCAGTGTGTACACAAATGCACAAATGTCGCTCTCCACATACTCTATTAAACTGCATTGCAATTCCCCAAATGGCATCCCCCAGCCTGCACTACTCCATCCCTACAAGCAGAACTCACCATCTTCTGATACAGTTTTCACCAATTAAGTTCATAGTTTCTTCTGTTTCTACCTACTAGTCTGTGAGCTTCATGAGGGTAGTGATTTTTGTTTTCTTTTGTTTTGTTCCTTCACGCATTTCCGTTGCTTGGAACGTGGCCTGATATGCCACAGCACTCAATAAATAGTTGTTGAATGAGTGAGGAATGAATGAATGAAGTTGTTAAGAACCTAAAATCAGTGGGACCACTCTTACAGATTTCTCTCTTCACCAACACCTATCCGCTGTGAATCTTTCCCAGAAGTATATTGATCTTCTGATCACTCGTGTTGCCAATACCTTGTGGCCGAAGTGATTGATGTCTCTGCATGCGTTCACATAGGCATAGTAGAGGAAATGTATTCACGGCTTTGGCTCTGTGTCAAAATTAAATGCTGACCTTGGCTTACTTTGCCTCCCCACAGAGGTTATTTCTTAATCGTAAAGGAAACACTCTGTCCTTGGGAAAAGTAATATTTCTGCCACCTTCAGCTTTCACATGGCTATTTGATATGGCTCACGGGTGTCCCTGTCAGTGGCAGCTGAAAAAGCTTAGGAAGAGGGGATCTGTAAATGACCCATCGTGTCATCAGAAGCTGGCCATGAGGTGGAATTCCTTTACAATAACTTATTTACCTGTCCAGATCCTTCATATCCCATTAAAGCTTTCTCCTGCTAGCCAGGACCCTGGAGTGCTAAGAGGAAAAAGGAAAATCAATTGATAATGATATATTCCATTAAAATATATATATATTGATTCCCAGGTGATGACAGTCCAGCGCTTCTGCAGGGAGGATGCCATTTCCGGTCATGATGATGGCTTTCTCATATATTACATCTGAAACAGTGAATGAGGAATAACCCTACCTTCCCATAATAGATAGCCTCTTTCTAATAGGTATTAAATCTGTATTTTTTTTAAAAAAATCTCTCCAAGGATCTTGTTCTTCATCTCAAGGTCCTCTTCCCCATTGTCTAAAAGAAGTAATGGTTTGTTTTTGTAATTCTAGAGTATATATCCTTTTCAGTATTAGATTAAAGGCATGAATTTTTTACCCCCCCCCCAAACTGGACAGCAGCTTTGTTTGGATTAGCTGGAAAACAGTGCTGTTGTTCTCTCTCATATTCCATGTTAATGGCTCAGTGATGGGGATCAGGGCTAGCCTGTTTGGAGAATGGGGAGTCTACTGCTCACTGCACCTCATCATCTGGAAGTGCTATGGCAGAGTTTGGTACCTTTTATGAAAGAGTCCACCTGAGGAGGGCCAGCATCAGGAACAAACCCAAGGCAGACAAGCTTCCATTAAGGGTGGCGGGGCTTGAGGGGGGGGTGTCATCTAAGATAGTAGAACTCCAAATAGTTATTTTCACAAAAAAATGATGGCTGTTCCCCACCCCAACCCCACTCTTCTCCCCTCTCTCTCCAGATCGTCTGGCTTCCTCGTGATGCTAATGCTTTGCTAAGTGCTGGTGGCCATCGAAGTTTTTGCATCCTGGGGACGAATCCGGATCTCACCAGAGACGGACGGCGCAAGGTAGGTCTCCACTCAGCAAACCTGGAAGGTGGAAGACATGCCACCTGGGCAGAGCTGGCTGTCTTCTCTCATTATGAGGGTCTGGAGAAGGGGGATATGGAACTGGCCCCTCCCTCTTGCTTGATGAGACTTTTCCCACAGATACAGGTGCCCAAGGGCTCCACTAAGCTGTCTTGGCCTCAGTCACCTTGACACATCTGGGTCTTGAGTGTTCCCAAGAAAATTAGATCTGGGGGTAACGAAAAGTTATTGGACCTTGAAGCGTCTCAAAACAGTCATTCTTCTTTTTTTGTAATTTAACAAATTCAAATCTTATAATTCAACTTTTTGGTTATTAGAATAAATTATTAAGTATCTTGAAACTATGTATTCATTGTACAAAGATAGTTTGAAAGATAGCCTCTAAGATTTGAGGTGTCACTTGACAGTAGAAGGGGTGCTTAGACGCAGGCCCTAGATTCAATCTCTAACACCAAAATGTCCTACATATATAGAATATGTATGTATCACACTAAATTTCTTCCCTTCTTGGGAGGGTCCCGCCCAAGGCCTCAGGCTCACAGACCAACGTAAGACAATTTTAGTTTGGGGGTTTCTTTTATGGTAGGGCGTGCGCGGTGACTTACAAAGAAACCACAGGGTGGAGCCCTTCCTTTCCCTCCCACGCCCCGTGGGCCCACCATCTCGCCCCAGGTCTGCGAATGCCCCATCTTGCTTCCACGCTTGTGGGACACCCGGACCATTTTCCTCTGTGCTGCACGCTTCCTCCCTTCGTTTCAATGTCCGTCCACACTAGGGTCCACCCTTATTCCCTGCACTTGCCGGTAGCTCTTTGGAGGAATAAGTCATTTCCAGGCTACAGTATGTGTGTGTATATATAGAGATAAAACCTAAAATTATAGAAATGATGTATCATATTCTCCAGAGATAAACATTTTAGTGTCTCTCTTTTACTCATGTGCATGCACAGTGTGTACACATATACACAGGATTACACTGTATCTTCTGATACTTGGTAAAGGGTATTAAGACATCTTTTTATCTTAGTTATTAGAAACCTATATCATTTGTCAAAGCTAGATGTTTTATGGATATAATAATATGTATAACCTACTTGGTGCCCTGGAGATGGACAGTTAGTGTATTTTGAATCATCCATTATAACAGCATAGGATACATTTCTGTGTATATACTTTGCATAGTCTTTTATTTCCTGGCATTAAATTTAGAGATATGGCCTAACATTTAAATCTGAACTGTTGGGCCAGGAGAGAGTCGGATGATGTGGACTCCCTGGTAAGGGCGTGCATCTTATGAAAAGCAGTTGTAGCGTTGTTCTGTCGCCTGACAGCAAGCCAGGCAAAAGCAGTGGAGCCTGCAGCTAGTCACCAGTACTCACACATTTCCTGCCACTAAAGGGGAAGGACTGAGCCTGGAATAAAGCAGGCTGGGGATGGAGTGGGGTACCTGGATTCAGGACAGCTAAGGCTCAGGTGTCCCAGTACCATGTTCTTGAGCATCTCTGATTAGGGCCAGTTTATGCTCTGAACCTAGCTTAAAGCATCATGCCAACAAGGGTCTGTTCCACATCCAGACTCTCTGTGGGCAGAGGGCCTTGTCTTTGGACTCAGAGATAGTGGGGTTGAAGGCAGCCTGTCATTCCAGAACTCTTGAACAAAGAGAGGAAACTGTGCCTCTAGGATCCCAGGTTGTAGGTAGCAGAGGTTGTGAGGAGGAGAGACCCAGGTTAGACCTGCATCAGATGCTACTGTGGAAGAACCCCAGCACCCAGCAACCTCCCAGCAGCCCAAAGGCCCAGCCAGAGAAAGACAAATGGGCTTCTGACCTACAAGGCTGTTGGTATGAACCTAACAGCACCTCTGACTTGGGGCAACTGCCTTGTCTACTGTCCTAGGCCCTGGGGAATGGTTGGCTTCTGTGACTGTTGGATCAGTAAAGTGGGGTTTAGGGACCATCTCCTTCCAAGCAGATAGAGGGGGTGAAGAAGAAATTTAGAGGTGTGTTTCACTTTAAGACAGCTTTCCTTAGATCCTCCTGCACTGCTTGTGTGGCAAAAAAGTCACTGAGGAGGCCCTGGGGTAATGGGCTTTGTTTTCTTAAATGATAAGTCTTATTTTGGGTCTCCTGTTAGTAGTGCAGCATTGGCACGTAACCCACATTTGTCCCAGCTTTGGACAAGTATGGCTGTAGGATGAGGAAAGGGTTGGTCCATTGATAGTCTCACTAAGCACACCTGATAGGGTGCACATTTTGAGGATCCCAGATTGGTGTCCCCAATGTGAACGTATTTATCTGGCCTACCATTGGCCAGTTCCTGAAGGGCAGGAACTGCATCTAATGTAACTCTGAATTCTGCCTATCGACATCCCACCAACATCTACCTTGCACCTTGCCAGGACTGTTCCTGTGAGTACCTGTGGCAGATGGCACAATACAGGATGTGTTCTTTCCTCTTGGTCAGGATACTCACTAATTCCCCAGAGAATAAGAAGGCGCTGCAGCCCACTGTGGCTCCTACTGGCCAGTGGAAACACTTTTGGGCCAGTTCACCAGGTCCTGCTACAAAATAGGCCAATTCAGGAACAAAGTGTGGAAGGCTGTCGTCTGCCCCTGAAATGGGAGGAAAGTCACCCAAGTAACAAAAAGAAGGGTTTCAAAAGCAGCAGGAGAGAAATCTGACACCTGTGCTGCCAGGAGTGGGGAGCTAAGGACTCAGTCTATACAGAACCAGAGGCTTGGCTGAAAATGGCAGGAAGAGACCCTGTGCTCTGGAGTACGTAGAAGTTGGGTGCCAGTCTTCCTTGGTGCTGAGAACAGACCTGTGCAGCATCCTCTGTCTCTGTCATTAGAACTGTGGGACCGTTGCATACAGCCCCTCCATGCCCATTGCCCTCGGCAAGTTCTGTGTGTCCTATATCCCCAAGGTCGCTGCACATGCCTCCTGAGGGAATGGGAGCTGTTCACTTATGGGCCCTGAGTGTCTGCACTCACCACAACTTCACTTCCCCTAAATCGATTATGCAGGTGCCCTCCCACCACATTCTGTCCTCTGCCAGCCTCCTCTCCCCACTTAGGGGAGCCTCACTTCATTGAGGCTCTGGTCCCTCCTCCCTGCACTGGTTCCTTGTCCATCTCTGTCAGGCCTCTGTGGCCCCCTTCCCAAGGATGGGCCATGCAGTTACCTTAGTGCTACAGTGGCCACCACATATGCTCAGTCATTCCCTTATCTTCTTGCTGCCTTACTTGGCCACCCTGGAGACTGTCACGGCTTCATACTTCACTGGGCATCTGAGTACTAGGGCCCTTGAGAAAGCCATGTGCCCATACCATGTGCCCATCTGGACACAGTTCCTCATTATGGCCTTAACTGAGCCTGTCCACATCCTTCCTGGGGCCTTTATACCTTTCCACTAAACAGTCCCTAAGACCTCAATGACTTCCCTTCCGGCTTTATGGAGGCATACGGTTTTATTCTTACTTGCTATATGAACTACAGCCCTCTGGCTCCTCCTCTTCCTCCCACCTATGACCCTGCCCATCCACAAGGACTTCCTTCAACTTCCTGTCTCTCTAGTATCTTCAACTGTGCCCTGGATTTGACACCTAGGCAGAATTTTTATCCCTACATACCAATTACCTATATTAATCTATCTTGAATTCAGCCTGTCCAAAATAAGTTCCCTTAGTTGCCATCTCCTGTGAGTTTTTGGTTCTCTGTGTTCCTTGGCTGTGTCTATCTCCTCTACCTTAGGGTCTCATCTTCCTACCCTGACCATTAGCCCCTAGAGGATAGTGCTTACCCTTTTCCTCCATGGGTCCAGCATAAGGCCCAGTACATATGTCATAAGATTGGATGATCATATTCTTCCCAGACATTGCAGCACCACAGAGCATGTCCTCATAGGCAGTGTGAAGGAGAGGATCCTGGAAACTGAGGCAGGCTACCAGCTCCAGATCCCAAATCTACTGGTAACTGAGAGTACCTGTAGAATGGGACTATCCCTGACCTTCCCACCTCTCAGGACACTATGAAGGTAGACTAGGGGGAGACTGAGAGGAAGACTTGGGGGAGGTTAAGGCGACACTGTGTTTAGGACACTCAATCCTAAAAGATTGAGGAGAGACTGTGAAGGGAGACTGAGGAGAGACTGAGAGAGTAAAAAGAAAGTCTGAGAGGAGACAGAGGGACAGTGAGGGGAGACTAAGGCGAAATTGAGGGAAGACTGAGAGAAGATTGAGGGAGACACTAAAGAAAGACTGAGGGGAGAGTGGAGAGACAAGAGGACACTGACCAGCAGTGCTGAGCTATAGAGTTCAGGGCATGGCCTAGACAGCTTTACCAGTCCAAAAGCCTGGGTCTGTCCCCCAGGAGTTCTAATTAAATTCTTTTCACCAGATGAGTATCCAGCTCCAATCACTGCTCCCAACTCAAACTGTCACCTTGTGCCTGGGTTCTCCTCCTTGAGGAATTGGGATGGAAGTTATGGAGATTTTGCAAAACAATCTTCCTGGTTGGTGTGTGATTCATCTACTCTGCCTAAACTCTGCCCCTGGATTAAATAATCTGTAGGCTTGATGCTTTGACTAGTCACCTGTGCCTACTCTCTTCTAGGACCCTTACAGGAGCATCTCAGCCTTCCCCCATACACCTGTTCTTTTCCAGAGCTACCCTCCCAGTAGCTACAGATTCTAGAACCCTACTGCAACAGAGTGGTCAAATATGCCTCTTGTAGGTCTTTAAACACCAGCCCTAAACCCTAGCCACATACTAAAAACACCCAAGGGAACCTAATAATCCCTCATCCCCAGGCTGTGTTCCAGCTCCACTAAATCACAGTCTTGGGGTAGAGGGATGGGGGGAAGGCATTGACAATTCTCAAAAGTGCCAAGGTCAGAGGCACTGCCAAGCCTAGAGGCAGGTCTTTAGCCCTGGTGTGGGGCTTTCCAGTCATGGCTTCATGCAGGTGACACTTCCTGCT